GTTGGTTGTGGCCAGCATGTGCCATGGCCCCTGTTCTTGCCAAGAGAGCCTGCTGGAGTAAGCCACGCATGATACCAATTTGGAGCCGTTTGTGGTCCACTGCCCTGTAAGCGGAAGCAATTTGAGTTGCCAAGTATAGGCCACCTAGCCAAAATGGCACGTGAGGCAAAATGGACCCCTGTACCTCCCTCTCTCTTTCTCTCTATGTCTCTCCCGCCCAAATTTCTAAGTCTACGCCCGTGCATCCGCACGAATGCCGAAAACTGGGGTAGCGGAGTGGGTTTTGGGGCCAAAAAAACAATAGACTGCCTTCCATACGGAAATCAAATGTGCCCGAGGAAGCGCTTCACTTCACCTGATCGTAACCGAAATCACATCAAAACCATAACAAGAAAAGATGTTAAATACCCCTTTCGTCAGCAAACTTGGCAAATCTCAACTCTATAGGTCTGAATTTAGGGGGAGGGGGAGGGAAATACAGAACCCGAAAGAAATTCCAAAACAACCCTAGCAACCCTCGACCCCCAAATCACTGAACCCGCAAACAAACCCTAAACCCTGAACCCTCAACCCCGCAAACAAACAGTCGATTGGCCTGGGGCTCGTTAGTGCCTGGCAGTTTCAGCTTCTAGACAAAAAAATAACCTAGCAAGAGCAGCTCAAAAGGGAACCCAAACCCCCCCCCCCCCCAAAAGGGAATCAAGTCCCACTCTGGGTCCTGCTCTTTCAGGGTTGAGCAGGTTCAATTTTTAGATATTCCGGGGACGCCTTTCGTGTCCTCACTTCCCCTCGACTGAGGCCCCTCAGCCCCTAAACGAAGCAGACCCTAAACCCTCATTCGGGACTGGGGACTCAGTGAAGTCATGGGCATTTCTCGGTGAACTCTAAGGAGCCATATGCTTCCGCTCGACCCCAAGTGTCCACAGCGATAGGCTTGCTGGAAGCCGTGTTAACTTAGATTCAGGGTAGGTAAGTTGCGCTGTGGGGACGATTCAAGGGTTTCTGGGAGATACTGAGTAGACCTACTAGGTTGGGCTATGGGGTCTATCCACGTGTTTCTAGGGGATGCTAAGTAGACTTACTAAGCCGAAAGAGCTTCCAAGTAACCAGAGAAGAAGATGCGAAAGCTGTGCTTAGCAGAGTGGTTCGCGGCTGAGGACTTGGATCAGCAAGCTCCGGCTGGTTTGGAGTTTGAGGTTGACGATAAGATATGGGAAACTTGTACATACATTACATATATATATACACACATGTATACATCTTGCTTTTTTCTCAAAATTCTTGGTGCATCCTACATTCAATCTGGGTGCTCAGAGACATTACTTCGCTGCAGGCTTGAAGTGGAGTTTGGGTTGTTTTGGGTTCTTTAGAAGGGCTTGAGGATTGCCACTGCCAATAATGCGCTTCATCGGAAATAATTCGGATGTCACGAACTCCACCCCCGCTCCCCTTCCTGTAAATCAGGCGCTGCATGTGCACCCTAAACCCTAAACCCTAAACCCTAAACCCTTAACCCTTAAACCCTAAAGCCGCACAAGCGAGCCCTGCAGTACCCTCGCTGAGCTGGCGAATCTTTCCAGAAACCTGACCGCGCGTGAATCGGAGATGTACTTGGAGGTTCATGGGTAGCTATAAGTAGGGTCTTTAAGTACCCTCAATAAGGATTGATAACCAGTTATAGTTGCAGTTACCCTACTTATAGCCCCACTGATAGCTACCCATGAACCTTCAAGTAGGTTCGGGGGTTGGAAGGGTTGGGGTTGCTAGGACAACGCCAGCTGGCAGCAGTTTCGGGATGCTGGGAAATGAGCCACGATGCAGGACAACGTGGGATGTTGACGTCGGGCGGAATGTGGTTAGGGTTTCGGGCTTCGGGTTTGGGGCTAGCGCGGTGCCACTTGCAGAAACCCTAAGCCCTAAACCCTTAATTGCAAGATCCGCCGGACGCCCCGGCAGTCCAAGGCTTGTGCCCATCTCTGCAGACCCATCTGACCGCCTACAGGGCCTGCACACGAACCCTAAAAGCCTTGAAGGCTAAACAAGGCCTGAAGCCTAAAACCCGCAAAACCCCACAACGCTGAAGCCCTCCGATCTGCAAACCCTGAAAGCCTTAAAGTCCCTGAAGCCCTTGTATTCTGAAATCCTGACACCCCTGAACCCTGAACCCTGAAACCCTGAAACCCCTCCCAGTTTTCTCCGACCTCGTGTTGCAAGGGACTGGGTACTCCTGGGCTGATGCCATCTGAGGGTTGTTGGATTTTTTTGGGGGGTCGGTGGGGGGGTGGGGGGTCGGGGGTGGGGTGGGGGGTGGGGTGTGGGGGGGGGGGGGGGGGGGCAATGTTTCACATCCAGATGAGCACTTCTAATTCTAGGCCGAGAAAATCTCACGATCAAAACCGGCAAGATGGACACGTGTGGAGGTTTATATATACATATATATATATATATATATTTTTTTTTTCGTAGGTGTGCATATATAGCAACATAATATATGCACACATGGGCATATACTATGATCAAGACCGCCAAATCGCCCTTCATTCAGATCATCGCTCACAGCCACGGGTGTATGATTACAAGGGGACCATAAGGTAACACTACCAGTCATATTGGGTGCATGCCAGCTGCTTTTGCCTGCCCTGGATGCGCGGCCAGATCTCCGATCCTTCAGGGCTTAAGGTTTAGGGTCTAGGGTTTAGGGTTTAAGGTTTAAAGTTTAGAGTTTAGGGTTTAGGATACAAGCTCGAGGGACTGAGGGGTTTTGCATGCTTACCTGCACAAAGGTCTCGGAACCTTTGCAAGGAAGTCATCTCCACTGGAAAAGGGCCTGTTGATAGCTCGAATTGTGCAAACCCAAAGCCCTCTCAGCTAACCTGCGCCCTAAACCCTAAACCCTGCGTCCCAGCGCATGTATTACAGAGGTTAGGGGTTAGGGGTTAGAGGTTAGGTAACGGCTAGGGGTTCCGGTTTCGGGTCCCTCAGCCCAGAAACCCTCGTTTCCAAGCATGATTGATGCCGGCGACAGCACACTGAAAGATGGACACTTCTCGCCCAGAACTCGTGCTTGAGGAGACATACAAACAACCCTGCCCCTGCACCCGTGCTAAGCCTGAGGCGCTTTGACGGGAAAGCATGCCACAGCATTTAACCCTAAACCCTAAAGCCTAAACCCTCACTTCCCGACGCCTTCTCACGGGTATCCTCGGCTGAAGACGCCGATCGGGCTGACTGGTTGAAAGCCGAAGGCGACTGCGATACATCCTGTGGCCCACGGTTCATGCTCGCAGAACTTCCCCCTAAACCCTAAACCCTAAACCCTAAACCCTAAACCCTAAACCCTAAACCCTAAACCCTAAACCCTAAACCCTAAACCCTAAACCCTAAACCCTAAACCCTTAACCCTAATCGGCTCCCGCGGCAGGGCCTGGGGGCTTTGGTTGGGTAAGGGATTACGAGGGGCTTGGAGTTTTGGGGTTTTCGTCTTCGAGCGCACCCTGACTCCTCTCCTCGCGACCGCTCCCATCCTCACTCTCCGGAGCTCGTGCCGAGCCTGGCTGCGCGGGGCGTTTAAACCCTAAACCCTAAACCCTAAACCCTAAACCCTAAACCGGTCTGCTTAGGACATTTGGATCTTCGAAACCCATCTTGAGCACCGAACGCATGAGCAGATCCGGGTAGTTGCAAATTATGGTTCCGGTAGAATCCCTACTCAACTATCTGAAAATACCGTTCTAGCCCTAAACCCTAAACCCTAAACCCTACAACCCTTTTGGTGCAATTGCGCCGGAGAGTCCGACCATGGGCCCCCCTCTAACGCCTCCTTTGGCGGGGGGACTCGGACTTGCCTGATGCGCTGTAGGGCTTAGGGTCTAGGGCTTGGGGTCTAGGGTTTAGGGTTTTAGGGTTTGGGGTGTAGGGTTTAGGGCTTGGGGTTTAGGGTTTAGGGTTTGGGTTTAGGGTTTGAGGGTTTAGGGTTTGGGTTTTAGGGTTTAGGGTTTGGGGTTTGGGGTTTGGGGTTTAGGGTTTAACCAGATTCTACGGGTAGATTCATGGTCCCTTGATATGGGCCCCTTATCTGGGGGAGTCTTGTATACCCATCACCCCCAAGGGCCCACACTTCGGAAGCCTGCAAAGAAGATAAGGGGCCCCATGAAGGGCCATGCAACTTCCCATAGATAGAGGGCCACCTCTCTAAGTTATGGTCCCTTTTGAGGGGTTACCATTGTAAGGCGGGTTCTAGATTAAGTGTACCCAACAAAGGGGCCCTGATGTTGAGAACTGACAATGAACGCCAGTTTTTCCGGATCAGGGTTTGGGGGGTCGACTCCAAGCTTCCTGCTTCCGGATACCTTTCAGAAGCAAAGAGTCGGTTGAAGGAAGTCCAGTCTGGAACTAGGAATGGGGTTTAGGGCTTAGGGTTTTCTGTTGTAAGTTGCTGGGTTCCCCTAAACGCATGAACACCACTACGATGCCCCAAAGACATGAGAAACCCGCAGCCGCACACCCGAAATTTTGTTGCGCCATGCCAGGGAAGTTCTGCTGGCCTTGACCCGTTGTTGCCAGCATGGGCCGCTCCAGACTTGTGCCAAAAGGGCTGCGACCGAAGCCACCGCGTCTGGGTTGTATACATTTATTGTCGATAGGCTACTTACCCCCTTGCCCCTTAAGCAGGTGTGGAGAAGATGCAGGGAAGCTACCCCAACCTCTGAACCCCATTTCAAGGAGTTGACCCGAAGCTGACTTGCAATCCTCAAGCCTGCAACCTTCCATAGCAGGGGTGGCTTGGAATTGGGGGTTCTAGAAGCTTCACTGTACTCACAGAGCCTCTTGTTCAGGACCCCTGTTCCCATGAAACGGCTTGTTTCGTACTGGTTTAGAGCTTAGGGTGTTAAGGTGAAATCCCAGCTCTAATCGCCCTTAAACCATGTTCCAACTTTCTGGAGTTCACTGCATTAGGTTGGATGCGGCGGCACGAGAAACCCCCTTTGCTGCTCCCTTTCTCACTTGCCATCCACATCTGCCATTAGAGCCTCGAACTCGTCTGCGAGCTTCGGCCTTGTCAAGAGGGGTTAGGGCTTAGGGCTTAGGGCTTAGGATTCGGTCTTAGGGTTGAGGACCTCAAGTGGGGCAAAAGGTGTCCCCTGGTAGCCAACTGTTTGTACTGGAATTTGTGGAACAAAGGACGCGCGCAGGAGAGCCGAATTCGGGCTTCCAAGTGCGCCAGTCTTCCTCATTCACAACTCGGTCGCCGCAACTCGGTCGCCACATGGTGCCCCTTGCAATAGGAATCTCATCTGTATTCCAGATCAAATCCCCCTAATCCCCTCTGGATTCCAGAACACCTAATCCCCCGAATCCCTACATCGGACCCTGAAGGCTTTAAACTCTACATCTACACAGAAGATCAGGCGAAGCCAAGCTTTCCAAGAAGCCCTTCACATCCCTTTCCGCGCGGTGTTTCCATCTCCTCTCGCCCCTTAGCACTCGATTTCCACCCTGGGCCGCGCTGGCCCGTATCCCTCTCAAGTTCAAGGTGGCGCCATATCTGTAGGTGCAACACCTTCTTTGTGCCATCCCACCACGTGCCCTGAAAGCTCATGGAGGGGGGCGGAGACCTTTGAAGCAGCCCCTGAAAACAGATGCGGTTCAGGATAAATGTGGGTGCTTCGCGCAGTGGGGGAGGTAAAACGGAATGGCCAGATTCTCTAGATTCCTGATCTGGTCGACGCACACGCTATGCGCCACATGCTGCCACCCCCCCACCCCCGACTTCCTGGCGCGGTCGCGCCATATCTGCGCAGAAGAGATTCCGCCTCTAAGCCCTGAACCCTGAACTCCAAAGCCCAGAACCACGCTACAGTCGGCCATCACAGGAAAGCCTGCCCTGACCCTAAAATCTTAACCGGCCTTTTTTGGGGGGGACCCTTGATCTTACGATTCCGTGGCCTGGGTGCCGGCTCCTGTGCAGGGACCTGCCGCGACAAGTCGGAGAAGAATGCGGCAAAGCAGGTCAATTTTTCGGCTTACTAGTAGGATGGGTTCCAGTTTAGGGCCCGGGGGTTCGGGAGGGCCTGGGACTGAAAAAAAACAAAGGGCAGGAGGTAGGTATGGGCATCGGAAACCCTCAAACGCCCCAGCCGTGCCTCTCCAGCCTCCGCTCGCTGAACACGGCCCAGGAGTTCTTCCTTTGCCTGTTGGACCTGGCGTCGGGTTCATGCGTGAGGGTTGACAGTTGAGGCTCGGCTACCCGGTACCCGTTAAGTAGACCAGCCACACTGCAGGCTAACAACTTCGGGGCTTTTTTTCGGAATTCACCACAACAACCTTCGACATGAGAGTGATGTTGTCGTTGGGTGTCATGAGGTCAACATGTCTGTGCAGCCTTCCTGAGAACGCGTGGTCATATTGAGGGTGGCTGACCAGACTCATACGGCGCACAGAGATGTCGCGTCGCTCTCCGCCGGCGGAATTGTGGCAATTTTCAGTGGAAGTCTCTCCTGATTCTTTGTGAACGGCAGGTCCGAGTGGCTGAGTTGGCGTTCTCGCTTTTTGGTCCACCACAATGATCCTGCCATGGGTATGGCGCGGCCCAGTCTGCTTGTTGCGCTTCTATCTGTGGATGCCTCAACATTTAACAGTCTCGCACGAGCGCCACCATCATAGGTGTGCGTACCGCTAGTACTCCCGCGTGTCTCGCTCGACATCGTTTTCGGATTCGGCGCCGCAACAGAGTTTCCAATTTGTGCTGGAGGTCTGGCCGATGCCACGAAGGGCGCACTATTTGACCCATCGCACACGTAAACTCCTGGAGCAAAGTTCCTCCCTTTCCTTCCCCACCCCCCTGTGCCGAGATTCGCTGAAGGTTAAACCTTAACCCATAATCTGATCTACTTACACGGATTCCTCTGCCCAAGAAAAATTGCTGACTTAGTCGTCTACAAAGAAGCCCTCAATCCCTAACCCCCCTAATTCCAAATTATGCTCCGCACCCTAAACCCTCCTAAAGCCTAAAGCCTAAAGCCTAAAGCCTAAACCCTAAACCCCAAACCCGAACCACCCTGAAACCTCATCCCTCGAAGGCACGCCTGCTCCGCCGTCCCCGGACCGATGAAGGCCGTCAGGTGGCCTCCCGCAGAGGGTGGCATCAGCCTCGGGCGCTATTTCGTGCGTGGGGTCTTGATGTGTAAATATGTGTATATATGAACAAAAATATATGTATATATGTATATATGTATATATGTATATATGTATATATGTATATGTGTATATCTGTATATACATATACATATACTCTATGTTTTTCAAAGGGGTTCCTGGAGTTTATGTGGTTTAAGTTTTAAGTTTATGGGCTGTGTGGGTTTAGGTTTCGGGTGTCTGGGGTTTAGGGGGGCTTTTGGGACTTCTGCCTAAGACTGAGACGACTTAGTGCAGATTGAGCACTTCGCGGCTTGTGCTGGAGGCCTAGACTAGAACCTTCCCGTTGAAACTGCACGCTTTGGGATGTTCCGCCCTTCTCCTAACAGTCCTTCACAGGGATTTTTGTCCCCACGACTATAATTGTAATCCCAATTACAGTAAGGACTATAACAGCTCCTACATACAAAATTGCACCCCTAGTATAATCCCCATTAAGGACTGTTAGGAAGAAGGAGGAACATCCCAACTGCAGGCCTGACAAAGCTTCAAGGGGTTGTCCTAGCGAACCATCTTTTGGAAGAAGATGGCGGGCTAGAGAACCCTCAATATGCCCCCCCAAATAGTATAATCCTTACTTTAGGAACCCACCAAAAAGGGCACCACCTTCTTTCGGAAACCCTGTCAAGGGTCAGGGTCTGATTTGCGCGTAGCTTGCGCATGCTTCTTAGGTTCGACCGGTCGGCACATTTAAGCCCAAGAGGCGCGATCATCACGCCGCCACAACGATCTCGCACCTTGCTTGGCCCCAGTCTCTGGCAAAAATGCGAAGCGATTTCACAGGCAAACGTTGCCAAGGTTGCCTACATGTTCAGCTCATTCTTATGGATGATGACATGGAAACTGTTGCTGCTTTGCGGGTCCTTGGGTTGGGTTGGTAGTGACCTGGTAGTGGTTTTTTCACCGGCCCACAACAGCCACTTGCACGATGCCGCCGCCGCAGCCTTCTATTTGGCGCACTTCCTCCGCGATCTCAGCGCAACGGCGCGCAACCAAAACACCCTTACTAGCAGCCCTAAACCCTAAACCCTAAACCCTAAACCCTAACCCTAAACCCTAAACCCCCAAGCCCTCTACTGCATGCTTCTCCAAGTCGGCTTACCTTTGGCAAGTCGGAGCCGTTGGGGCCCACGGCCGCGCTCAAAAGCTTCTGCGGGATTTCCACCTGGTCCTTTTTTGGGGGCGGCTTCGGTTCGGCTGAAAATATTCCCCCCCCCCACACCCCTAATTAAATACTCGTTCATGTAGCCTAGGGCTTAGGGGTTAAAGGGCTCCAGCAATCACCAAGGTTTGCTTGGGGAAGATGGAGTAGCGTTCCCTCCAGTGCCGGGTGAACGTGACAACCACCTCAATACCTGCAAACCGTTTACAAAAGGCTTGCAGGGATCCTGGAATTGCTCATCATGTTGTCAGCCATACACCCTGGTCCCTCACCTTCTTTTTTTAACGGGTTCTGAAGTATGGGCCCTTGGGTTTTACAGGCCCAATTAAGGGCCCATATTAGGGACGTAACGACCCCAAGAGCTATGAACCCTAAATCCTAAACCATAAAATCTAGGGTGCCAACTCTGCATCTCCCCGTTCCCGGAGAGCTGGTCAAGGGGAGCCCAATACCCCTAAGAAGCCCTCTATGGTTCAGGGGTTTTAAGGGTTCAGGGGTTTAGTCAAGTGTATTGGGCGGCCTAGGGGGTTGAATGAAGGCTTATGCCAGGTGGCCAGCAACTACTCTGAGACGTCTTTGCAAGAACACGCCCTGATTGCGAAGTGCCTCTAGGAAAACGAAGCTTCAAGAGATGCTACGCCCTAAGGCTCCAAACAGCCCAAAGTAGTTACGAGGTATAGACTTTACCCTAAACCCTAAACCCTGAACCCGAAACCCTAAAGCCTAAACCCTTTTTTCCTAAACCCTAAACCCTTAGACCCCAATGTAGATACTATTTGTATACTTGGAGCCCTGGGGATGCGGTGCGGCCAGCATTCCATGTGTTCGCAGTCGGCTTGTAGCTTCGCCTTCCGCTCGGCCTGCCCAAACCCTTTAGGGCTTTAGGGCTGAGGGCTTAGGGTTTAGGGCTTAGGGTTTAGGGCTTAGGGTTTAGGGTTTGCGGCCTTACCATGGACCTGTTGTGGTCCATGACTTGCCAACTTTCCCAGGGCAAGAACATCGTGTTCTTGGGTTAGCAAGGTTTCATGGCTTCGTCAGAATGCCTGCGGACCTGAGGGCTTATACTAACAATACCCCCAATGATATCAACAACTCGCATCAGGATCTAAGCCTGCTAGCCGAAGTCAAACACAAGCTCTGCAAAGAAAACGCTGGTCCTCACCTTGTGCACACACAAACGCACGATGCTTGGCCTGGCCTGCAACTACGCATCTGCCTGATCGAAAGACTCTAACTAAGCTCAAACAGCCCTGCGGCAGGCTGATGGTCACATTTTTCTGGAACTGCCATGGCAATAAATCTATACTCCCCTTAGCACATTAGTAAAAATATCATTTTTTTAATATCCTCTTGGGTTTTATATGAACAAACATACAAAATAATTCGCAAGGGGGATGATATAGAAATCAGCAGTGATGGAGAAGCCTCGGCGAACTCATCATACAACTGCTGGATCTGCGCGGCAGCTTTGCCAACAGCTTCGCTGGTGCCTCCAGGCCCCATTTTTCCCAAAGCTCTGACGCTGATATGAAGTAGGGTTTATATTTCTTGTACCCCCGAAAGGACACCAGGTATATACACTCACCAATATTATAAAGGAACCCTATATACACTCACCAATAACAGTACCATAAACCCTGTTTCATATGGGGGCTTACGAAAATAGGGGGCCCTAACCTAGACCCCCAAATAATATTCCCGTATAATAAGGACCCCAATAAGGTACCCCTAGTATCGTAAACCCCCGTATGTGAACCCGAGGATTATGGGCATTGCGTGGGGCATACGGGTTTGGATTGCTTTACAAGACTGTGTCTTCTTCTTGACCCCGGGCCTTCCACAGAGACAGCCGTGTCTGTGGCAGATGCCCCCTGCTGAACACTGATATTGGCACCAGTTTCCTGAGGTGAAGGCAAAGCATCAACAAAACAAGCTACGAGTTGTCCGGACCGCAAAATCTCTGCAACCTTCTGCGCCACTCTGCACGCGATCCTATTCTCTCCCGATGCCATATGCTGGTCGTTGCTGATGAATTTGCCTGGACCTCAACCAAACAACAAACGCCGGTGTGTGCAGCCCATCTCCATGTTGAAAAATCGAACATAAAATGCATATATACCTAAGTATTTATCTAGAGGCCCAGAGTATGTACATATGTTCATATGTACACATACATACTTATATACGCGAAAACTTATAGCACACTCCGAAACCTGGAAGAAAACATCGAACAGCAAAGCAGGCCTTTTCCATTCCACAAGCCTACAACCCAAAATCCGATGTTCCCACTTGCAGAAAGTCTTTAGCAGAATGGGCACGATAAGTTCAAAAGCCCTCTTAATTCCAGCTCTGAACCGCATAAGGCCTGTTAAGCGCAATAAACCCTGAACAACATAAACGCCCTCTGAGCCCGATAAGCCTGAACCTTATAAGGCATGCTGTACGAGCCCAGATAAACCCAGCTTTCTCAATAATCCCAGAGGCTGCGCGACGCGTTGCACACCCTGTAAACCCAAGCAAAACCATCCACTCTCAACCCAAACCCCCAATGTCACCCTCAGACCAGAAAAGCCCTGGACCCTGAACCTTTTGAGCAGCGACTTTGGGGCTGCCGGCAGACATGCAACCCTAAACCCTAAACCCTAAACCCTAAACCCTAAACCCTAACTTTTTAAACATTGACGCCATCCTCAGAAAAGGCGCGGCCATGACAACCACGAGGCCGCCCTCGTGCTGCAAGGGCCCGGCAAAGCTCGTCCTTGGGTAGGAGTTTAGGGTTTAGGGTTTAGGGTTTAGGGTTTAGGGTTTAGGTTTAGGGTTTAGGGTTTAGGGTTTAGGGTTTAGGGTTTAGGGTTTAGGGGAGGATTGAGGGAGTTGACCCAGCATCAGTGTTCAGGTCTTAATTGGGGCATAGGGGTTTGGGGCACGCAGGGTTCTTAACCGCGAAGTTGTTTTTTGCTGGGAAACGGCCTTGCTAGGCTGTTGGAAGCCACGGGGCGGGAAGAGGCGTCGGAGTCAAGGGTTGCGGCTGGGGAAGCTCTTGAGGTTACTACCAGTAGCCCGAACCAACGCCAACTACCAATCCGAAACTGAGGACTCCAGATGTAAATCCATGGAAGCCTTCTGAGCCCTAGAACTCCCCAACCCCTCTCTCAAAGAGAACCCATGAAAGGGCTCCAAGCCGGTTCCCTTCATCATTAGAGGGGCATGTCTGTGGTCAAAGACTTGGGGCATCAGCCAAGGTGGGCAGAACTTGTCTCGTGACTGGTTTCATCTGACTTCAGCACATGCCTCTCAAAAGGATCTCCCGGAAATCATGTGAATGGCCGTTGGTGCTGGTAAATCTGCTGTTCCGATGTCGAGGTCTATTGAGGGCCCGCGCCCAAAAACTCTAACAAGTGCTCGTTTTGGGTGGTCGCCCCAGGAGGGAGACACAGAACTCTCAGCTTCAATGCAGGGAACCCTAACCGCGATGCTTCGGACTCTGGGGCTTAGAACCCAATCTCGCTGCAGAGCGTCGGGAGCGTCAGCGTGCGCGAAACAAGCCGGGAAGCCTTGTCAAGCTTCACGACTTTCTACTCTGAGGCTAGTGAAAATACGGCCCCTTCTGCCCCACAAGGGTTGTATGGGCTTGTGCTCGATGTCTCTGCCTGTGGCAGAATTGTTTTGAAAAGGGTTGGAATCGTGCTCAAGACTTTCATGTGATGTGTGCAGAGGTTAGAACCTTAAGATGTCGTGTTCAGGGATTAGGGTGTAAGCCCATCATCAACCAGGGGTCGGAACCGAACTCTATGGGAAGCTGTTCTGCTCTTGATGCCCTGGGTACTCGCACAAAGGTTGTCTTGTAGACACACACAGGAGTTCCAAGCATGCTGGCAAAATGTGTTGGAGTCTTCACACCCAAAACACGAACCGTGCTTGTGAGCAAGCAAAAAAACCTAGTCGAGCCGCAAACCGGTGGTGACTCATGTTGTACACCGCAGGCTATGCAACATGCGTTCGGTGCATGCCTCTCTCAGTTGTTGCGTGTAAGTAAAAGCACATCCACATCGAACCACCGAATCTGAACACTGCTAGTTAGTGCTTCCCCCCCCCCCCCTGACGCGCAAGCCCACAATCCATCAGCAACATTGGTCACTTGATGCTGGTTCTACCTGTTGCCCGTTGCCTACAGGCAAGTGCGGCTTACAATATGCAAATCGAGCCTGAACGAGAGCAACGCAATATAGTCTCGACTCTCATGCGCACAGAACAGAACAACAAAAACTCCATACTCGTGACCCAGAGCATTACATGCACCCGGAACCGAGGTACTTGTTTTTTTTGGGCATATTTTTTCTACCGTGGTATGTAAAAACCATCCCGACGTCTATTTCCGAGTCAGATGTCTGCCTCGTCCACATCCAAGGGCGTGGACTGCGAAAGCAGCGCGGCAGCGGCGGCAGCACCGCCCCGACGCTTCAGGGTACGGCTGCGAGAAGAGCCTGCTAGGGTTAAGGGCTTCGGTTGGGATGTTCCCCGCTTATACTAACAGTCCTTGATAGGGATTATACTTGGGGGTGCTATAATTGCTCCTAAGGACTGTTAGTATCAGGGGGAACATCCCTGAAGATGGGAGTGCCCAGAGTACAGGGCCTCTATAGGTTCGGAGCTCAGGGAGCTTTCTGGGTCGCGGGTGCCAGGTTCGGATTCCCAAGTGTCTGTAGGTCCACTGCACTGCAAAACGTTCACGTGGAAGGCGCAACGACCTCTTGTTCTCTTTGCCATCGGCCGGAATGTAGGAACAGGAACTAACCCTTTCGAAACCGGACTTGATGACTGCCAGCTGCCTCCTCCGCTAACCCTAAACCCTAAACCCGAAGAGGGTGGTCTGGGGGCAAAGGGTACCTGGCAGGGACCTGCACGAACAGTGGTGGAACCCTCTCAGCACTTCTGGGCTTCGACTGGGGTTTTCCGAAAATATGGAGCCTCTAATAAAGACCCCCACAAAGTAGGATCCCCTTACAATCAGGACTCCAACAGGTACCCCAAATAAACCCTAAACCCTAAACCCTGGAAACCCCTCACGGAGCCTGAGCTGGAGCTGTCAGAATCGGATTCCACGACAGTGACAGCAGTGCCTCCGCCAACTGGGGTGGGGTTTTGGTGTACGGTTGGGCCACTGCACCCATTTTTTGCCCCCCCCCCCCCCCCCCAAAGGTAATGTAAGCTTTGTGTTGTGACCAGACCATGGAAACGATGGCTCAGGCTCTGATTGCAACTCTTGGGCTGGCATGTCGGGCTTAGGGATTTGTTGAAGGAAGGTCAGCGCCAACTTGCTCGACAAAGGGAAGCAAATCAGAATGCATCCCAAGCCTGCTGAGGAGTGAGCAGGAAGAAGCCCAAGACACATTCCGTGCACACTCGTCTCAATATTTTCAGTCGGTGAGCCCAATATAGCATCCAGGCTCACAGCCTCAGCCTCCCTACAGACTGAACAATCGCTGAACCCTACATCTCTCATGAAGGCGACTCCGGTTTCGATGGTTCAGGCTGAGCTTTTTGACTCCGGCTCGCAAGCAACTTGTAGGGTTTCGGGTTTAGGTCTTGACCACCAGGCCTTTCGCAGACCGAGCTCTTTTGGCTTTGGTCGGCTGGATGCACACGTCCTGAAACCGGGGCCAAGTCGGCGGATGGTTGCCGAAAGCGCCGTGCCCCGGTCCTCCTCGATATCGTCGTCAATGCAAACGTTGGCCCTGGGTTCCGACGTGTATGGAGGATGGGTTAGGGCTGACAACGACCCGATATAATATTACAAGAATCTCCTAATATGCTTATATGGTAATATCATAACATCCTGTTACAATACAACCATGTAATCATATAAGAACCGATCTTGCGACACAAATGGCGTGTTGCGCGGGGCAGCGGCCAGAGGCCGCTTAGATCCTGCACTCGCCGACGAGCCCGTCACCTGTGGGTGAATGCCCCCTTCTACGACTCGAAGAATATGGAAACCTAGTCATATGAACGTATACGAGTATACCAAGATCATAAGATTTCTAGACGAAAACAATGTAACAATATAGTCATGTGAAAGAAGAAGAAACCAATAGCAAAAAACATAAATAACAATATAAATAAATCAGAAATAAATATAAATTTACCTTTACATGTGAATATAAATATAAGTATAAAAATGAGTATAAATATAAATATAAATATAAATATGAATATGAATATAAATATACATATACATACAAATATGAGTATAAATAGAAATATGCAAACAAAGAAATGAATAAACAAATAAATATCTATCTATATATATATATATTATGTAAACAAAAATACGTAAATGTAAAACGGAATCAAGCAAACCAGATTTGCACATGCCAACATGCAACAACGCAAAGCTGACGGCGGATGCTATCTGATCATCTCACGCATGAACCTCGACGTCGGGACACACGTCGTCGTCGACGTCTTCCACAATGGCCACCATGATGGGCAGCCGCGCCAATCTAATTACCGACTATTTCACATCGTCAGAGCCGAGCAAGAAGCAACACAGAGGGCATGAGCTTGTACAAAGCTGAAGCGTCAGACCGGCGTGTGCTGTGAGCAGCCGAACTACATCGAATCAGGCCCGGTGGGGTAGATCTAGTTCTAATGACCTAACCGTTCAGACCGATCCAACTGACACTTGAAACTGCTGGAACAGGTCACGGCAACTCTGCCGCTCTTCTCCTCTGCCCAAGAAGCAGTTGATTGGTTGCTAGGCGCATTTGGGCGCTGTCTGGCTGCGGTTGTGGCATTCATTGTCCACGCACGCAGGGTCAAGCCGGGAACTGCAAAAACAACTCTTGACATGAACGGTCTCCGAATCTGCGGAAACGCAGCCGAGACATTGATGTCCCATTTGCTTTGAGTGCCCTCCTGCGGCTGTCGAGTGTGCATCCGCATTCTGTTTCGGAGGCCGCCCTCGGAAGAGAGCCCGCTAAACGCACAGCACCTTCCGAGGAAACACTGCAGTTCACTGGTCTGGGCTGAGGGTGTGCTGCAGCTTGCACTTTATTCGCTTTACATGAGCAGAGTGGACGGCAGAAACATGGTTCAGAGCTTGGGCTTTAGACTTTCATGTCGCATTTGAAGTGCACATGGACAAGCAGGTGCTAGCTGCAAGCGGGCCTTAGCAGGAGCCGCAGGTGTTTCATGATTTCACCGGCAATGCAATCACATCACCACTTACCTACCTACTTGCTTGTTGTAGGTTGTTACTCTAAAGCCCCTGAGGGGATTCTTGTCTAACCTACAGAAAACCGTAGGTGTCGGGTTCTGAAGGTATGTTCTAAGTGGCCTCTGGTGGTCTCTGCAATCACAACGGGCGGATTGATGGGTCCGCTTCTCCGAGCTCCTCACAAGGCTGGGTTCAGGGTTTAGGGTTTAGGGGTTTAGGGGTTATGATGCCTTGCTTGGACGTTTATGGGTAGTTACAAGTAGGAATAGAAGTACTCCAAATTTGGTTCTGACCAGGTATAATGATTGGTACCCTACTTGACTACCCATAAACCTTCAAGTCTGTGATCAGTCCTCGCACTATCGAAAACCATTGCTTTTAAAACCAAATTTTCGCAACTTATTCAGTTGTAGATGTGTACAGTAGCTGGGAAAAACCTCAAGCCCGTGGCACTGCAGCAACTCTTTCGGACTTTGGTTTGGGAAAGGGGGGTCAAGCAACTACAGATATAGGTATATATATATATATATGTATACGTATAATATATATATATATATACATACATATATACCACTCACATGCATACATATTTCTCATGACAGAGCACTTTGCGCATCTGTGTTGCTTAGTCGCTGAGTTGCTGATAGCCCTTCCGGCTCATCTGCTCTTGCTGTAAACTTCCTTGTTGCTCTCGGGCGCTTCCGCATCCGGCCGGACGCAAGTCCCAAAATGAGACCCTCCCTCCCACTGGGATGCCCCTGTAAACCCTTTGAACATTCCCACAAACGACAAATGCTGGGATTTGGGTGGCAACGAGTCCTCTCTCTGCTTCCTTAGCTGTGGCCGGCATCAGTTTCCCCATAAGAGTCTGAGAAACTGGTGGAACTCTGTTGCTCATGGCGCCACTCAACTTATGCCAGGGTTTAGGGTTTTTTTTTTCCCACCTGCCTGGCTGACCCCCTCTGGGATCACTTCGCAAGGAACATGGTTTAGGGTTTAGGGGTTTACGGGTTTAGGGAGCCCCCTAAACCCTAAACCCTAAGCCTATGGGCATGACACAACAGTGCCTCCCAGGCGCTGTTCCATGTCTTGAAGCTCCCGCAGCTTCTCCTGCACCTGCACCAACATTAGCATCTCTCTCCTACTACTTGCTTCAGACCCCCCAGGAAAAGTATCTTAACCCCTATATTCCCCTTATTAGGAAAAGTACCTTTTTTTTGGGGTGGGGGGGTTTCTTAAGCAACGAGGTCTCAGCCCCAAACCCCCTGAACCCTAAATCTCCGCCAGCGCATCCCTGACGAACCTTGCTCCGGCATGACTGACGTCCTGCTGATTTTCGAACAAGTTCTTTTGTAATGTGTTAGATTGTACTTGTGTAGATGGTACCTACTACATGTTCTAATTGCGTGCATACATTAAAAATACAAATACAAGTATAAATAATTAAATCACTATACATATATATCTGTATGTACGTAAATGTATATAGATAGATAGATAGACAGATAGATAGATAGAGTTCTGGACATTGCAAATCTGCGCTGGCACGGCACGAACAGCAGCAGCCGTAGCAAAGCATCATAGAGCCAACAGAACGAGGCCAGCAATCCAGACCGTCCAGACCATTTTACTGCAACACACATGGATACAAACCAAGGGGAGATGTCCACGACCCTTCTTCAAAAAGCAATCCTCCGCTGTTTCTCTCGCGACGCTTGCAAGGACACCCTTGGAAAGTTGCTTTGGCCGCACAACCTGTTACTAATTCGTATCTCGTTCCGCTGCACATCTGTCTGCGGGATTTTGCGGTGGTAGACAGTCCACTCGAAACTCAAGCCTGGGCTTTCGGGCAGCCCCGCCCTCAAAAACACAAGAGGAGTGACCACAAACAGCTCGCCCCACTGGCCTCCCGTAACAGATTCTGCTCCTTCTTGAGGTCGGCGACACGGTCCTCACTGCGCAGCCCAAGAAGAAATGAGTATTCGACTCCACACTTTCTACATTCTCAATTCTCGACCCTAGCTTTAGGCCTCCCTTTCAATATTCTGATATAGTAGTATGATAAAAGGGTGTTCTAAACTTTTCAACTGGAATCATATAGATATTTGTAGAATAACATAACAATAGTGAATCCAGTAATGGCCGAAAAGAGTCAAAGCCCCCTGGCTCCCCTTGGCCTTGCCATGTGAGCACCCGAAGACCCGGCCTCAAGCTCGTTGGTGAGGTTGAAGAGCTCTGTCTCCTAAGGTGGGTCCACAGTTCGTCAACAGTTTATGGTAGGTTAGGGCTTAGGGCTTAGGGCTTAGGGCTTAGGGCTTAGGGTTTAGGGTTTAGGGTTTAGGGTTTAGGGTTTAGGGTTTAGGGTTTAGGGTTTAGGGTTTAGGGTTTAGGGTTTAGGGTTTGGGGTTTAGGGTTTAGGGTTTAGGGTTTAGGGTTTAGGGTTTCGACTTTAGGGTTTAGGGTTTAGGGTTCAGGGTTCAGGGTTTAGGGTAGGTTCTGTTTTGCCACCCACCTAGCTGGTGGTAACATCGCGCTGCAGGGAAAGGCACACGTTATTCAATCGTGATGATTGGGGGATTCTGCAGAGACACGGCTTTCCTCAAGGGGGAGAACATGCATGGTACGGTGGGGTTTAGGGTTTGAGGTTTGAGGTTTAGGTTTAGGGTTGGTGCGCCAAAGAGGGTTGTTCCAAAATTCGGGTCCCCTGCTGTGCGTCGATTCCTCTACCAGAAAAGGGGACCCTGAAGAACAACCCCGTCCCAAAATGGCATGTTGCTCGTAACCTTGGGCTTCGGGACTGGGCTGGGTTCATGTATGAGCCCCTTAGTCTGTCCAGCAAGGCGAACTGGAGTCCATTCCCTCAAGCAGAGCCCCCCCTCCCCGAAAGCAACAAGCTCTAAAATGACACACGGGAGTTGAAAATTTAAGCCCCCCCCCCCCCACCCCCACTCCCTCCACAGCTGGATGCAGGCCCACCTTCCGTGATTTGGCCAAGACCAACTCCATCTTCTCCTCAGCAGCTGAGCCGTAATCGGGGGGGGGGGTGGGGGGTACTTTACTAGAATGGGAATCTTTGGGTAGTCTATGATAGAGAGTAGTGATCATCATAAGGGGAACCGATAACAATTGGTGAGGATGTGGGCTCCTACAGCGCAAGGCTTAGCGGTTGTGAGCGTCTAGCAGGGGGCAGAGGGGGGGTTTTTCTCAGAACTCAGCACGACACCTCAATTTGTCTCAGATACCCTAAACCCTAAACACTAATCACTAAACCCTAAACTCCGACTTCCAGACAGGTCTCGTTTTCGAGGATCTCGTTTTCGCGCGCCAAGTGGCGGGCCTTGCTTCGAAGTTTTAGGGTCCTTAAGGGACGGGGGGTTCCAGGGGGGGGTATGTAACCCAAGGTTCCCTAATACTCCCCAGTACTCCCTAAGGCTCCCTAAGCTTCTCTAAGGTTCCCCAGGTACCTACCCCCTTGAACCCCCCTCCCTTAAGAACCCTTTCATGAACCCTATGGTGAAAGCACGGCTTGAGCTCTCATGCTGGCACCAGGAGGCGAGGCAGATACATTTGCGAAGTAGAAGATGCAGCACAACAAGAACTTCGAAATAGCATGCACCCATCATCGCCCAATCCCGCGTACGGACTACGACACTCGAGCTGTTGGACATCACGGGTGCGAAAGAAGGGTTTAGATCTGCGAAGTTCCCAAACGAGATCAACAATGACTTTTCCTATTGGTTCTTGAGCTTCCTCCTTCCGAAGGGTGGGAAGCCCACGAAGAAGCGTGCTTCTACAGACTGAAGGCCCCGAAAAAGCGAGCCCCCAAATTCCTTACCTTACCCCTACGGAAAATCAAACCTTTCCTTCTGAACCCGAAACTTCTGAACTAAGCCCTAAACCCTCAACTCGCAACTTCAAAAAGAAGGGGGCTCTTAATCGCTTGCGGTACGCCTCCACGGAGGGCCTCCCAGCATCTTCTTGAAGCTCCTGGCCAGACTCCCCCCTCTCCTCTACTTCCCCGCCCCCCTCCTTTCCCTGCCCCCCCTTTTTCTCCTCCCCGCCCTTTTTCCCCCTTGTCTGGAGTGCTTCAAATAGGACCTAGATCCGTCTACAAGACTAAGTAGGTAAATATCAGCTGCACCACATACTGTCACAAAAGCCCCTTTTGAGGAAACCACTGATTGTGCTTTTCGTTCTTACAGCAACCCTAACCTTTCATAGGGCCTCACTTGCCCACCTCCTAACAAACTACTTGGGAAGATAGTCCAAGAATATGCGTGCTTTCAACAAAGTTTAGAAGACAGGACATTGTCGCATAGACCGCAAGCACACCATACGCCCTGCCCACACCCCCCTCCCCCCCCCCAAAAAAAAAAGGTAGCCCCTAGTTTGATAGAGCTATACCTCTAAAGGCCCCAGTCTCTTCGAGTTAGGGATCGTGGCGGACGTAAGAGGCTCCCGGCGTGGCATGCCCTAGGGAAAGCTTATTCAAACAAGCGTTGTACTCGGACGCGAGGGAGGATCTGCACAAAGTCGGCCCCCCCAAAGATTCCGACTCATGACGCAAAAAGGAGCACACTCGCGAAATACTAAGCTGCGCTCTTCTTTCTACAATCCTCCCTGGGGTCGGGTCTGGGCACTTGCACCACGTTGGTTCCTTCTTCGCGGGCGCTGCCGGCACCGCAGGCGAGAAGAACCTGTCAGCATGCCCAAAGTGCTTTGATCTTAGTTGCGCTTTCAAGGCCCCGGAACTTTACAAACTATGTAAATAAACTGATAAACGCCTCTCTATAATTACATGTACATACTTGCCCGCCCCCTATACAACCGGAAGGAAAGTTCAAATGGATGCCACAATGTCACCTTTCTGCTGCAAAGGGGGTTTAGTATCCATGGGCCCTGAGAGGAGCATCCACGGATGTCCGTGCCACATCGCTTGATCCTCCTACCTTTGGCAGTCCGGTCCTGAAACGCTTCTTGCAACGAAGGCTGCTGCCTTGCGCTTGTGCAAGAGGCTTAGTCGGAAACTGCGGTTGAGACGCACGTCTGCGGGAGCCTTTTGGACCGAAAGGCTTCCTAAACGACCCCGAGTCTTCTGGTTCTGGCCAGGGCAAGGTATTGGGCTGAGAACATCGCATATCAGGAGCACGACCGATGCACCAAACAAACCTCTATCGCCTGTATCCGACGAGAGGGCTAAGGCCTAGGACCATTCAGGTATTATGCACTATTTGGACTGGAACCCTCCACCCCACAGGAAGAAAGCCATGGGAAAATCTCTGCCGAGCAACTTGCGGACGAAGGCGTGCTGCATGGCTTGTGCAGCTGTGAGACGCTTCTGTCAGGGCGCTCAGGGCTTCAAAAGGATCTGCCAAAATTCTGAAAACCGTGGCTGAAGCCTCAGCATAAGGTCTATAGGGCCTATAGACCTTATGCTGCGGCTTCTGTAGGGTTTCCTTACCAGGCCGTGAGAAGTAAGGTTTCTTTGCCTAGCTGGTAAGAGACCGCATTGAGATCTTGGGGCTGAGGGCTTTTGATGACACCTCTGCTTTGTATGTTAGACCTCTAGCGCAAGATACCAACCGTGACAGCTCGGTGATCTCAGCCTCTTGCCGCAGCTTTGCTTTGGATACCTGTTTAATTAAGTGCAGACCCTAAACCCGAAACCCAAAAAAGGATCCAACTCCCCCCCCCCCCCCCCCCCCCCCAAAAAAAAAAAAAAGGAAGAGAAAAAGGCGGGTTCTCAGGGCACTTAAAGCGCTTAAAAGCGAGGCCCCAGGTCTCATGCGCTTGGTAGTTTCCCCTTTTTCGACTCATAACATAAACAATATACCAATACACACTTCCAGCAAGATAATATATAATGAAATAACAATTTAAGGCAATATAGTAATGTCACAATATAACAATATGACAGAGTCATATTATCAGAATAGAATGTCATCCCAATAGAAATATGACGGCATAAATAGAGCAACAATGGACATACCACATAGCACAATAAAAAGTGTAAGGCTAAACTGCACGGTCTGCAGCGGCAGCCCCGGTCCGTCCTCGGGCGCCTTCTTGCAGAGGCTCTTGATGCAGTCCTGGCTCTTACGGGGCAGTCAGACACAATCGGAGCAGCTGGGTGGGAAAGTTGCAATAGGCATATGGTAGAATAAGAGAACAATACAAGCATATAATAACACAGCAATAAAATAGAATAATAGAGAAATGGAAAAATAGAAACATAGAATTATCGAATAGAACTGTAGAAGAAGGATCGGACTAAGGATTGGGATGGTTTGGGTTTTCTGATTTTTTCTGGCATCTGCCACACGTCGAGCAATTGCTCAGCTGAGACCCTTAGAATTACACAAAAGGTTGAGAATTAGTAGGGACCTAGCGGCCGACTGCCAGTGTCAGGAGAATCGTCCCTCTCTTGCTGTCACAGGGTTATGCCTTCAGGGTGGTAGTCACATGATAGGTATCCATGCTGTGGGGTTTGGACAGAAGCAGCAACTCACATGACTCACTTTCTGGTGCAGTACTCGACCGCACCTGGCCGAATAATCTAACACAGAAGCTTGGCCAAAGCTTGAATCTCCATCTCCCAAATTTTTTCACATGCCCACAGCGAAGCATCGTGAGCATCAACTGTAAACTGATCCGGCTGTTTGCCAGACTCCTGACTAGTTGCCTCGATTGCTACTCTTTGATTAAGACCCCCCCCAACACGAATACAAGATAATCATGTCAAAAAAGCCCTGAAAAGAAGAATGTCCCATGTTTTAGTGGTTCTTAAGCCAATAGTAGATTGTGAAGAAGGGAAGCCGGCATCGTAAGTCGCACGCGTCAGCTGAGAGGCTGCCAGAACCTACGTACAGCACGACGGTGGCCAACCGAGTGCAAAGGGTTTCGGTTTTTTTTTTGCCACCCGCTTAGCTGACCTCTCGGACACTCTGCAGGGGAAAGTCTGGATACTCTGTATACATTCATCCTCGGTTTCGGGTTTTAGGGTTTAGGGTTTCTTCGAAGCTGTTACTCGGGGCAAGGAGACAGGTATCCTCGACAGCGTAAGCTAGGATCACCTGCACTTGCCCCAGCCGAGGTCCTCCACGGAAGGCTCGATGTCTGACGGAAATTGCAACTTGATGCTCCTGAGGTATGGCGGTTGTGGAGCAGCTCTCACTGTTCTGAGGCATGAAGTTGCAGCTGTTGTGAAGGCGTGTGTTACATGAAAGAGAAACATTCCTGTAAAGCTTGTACGTGCTTGCGCATTTTTGCCAGATCTACCCCGTGACATCCTTATACTGACACTTCGCCCTACAATAGACTGAAATCGATCAGGGAGTGATTGGAGCGCCGCTATGCCGGCCCTCTTATAAATCAGGAACCCTACAATAGAGGCATGAAGAAGGGGGCGCTTCATCATGAACGACCACCAAGGGGCTAACCGTGCAGGGGCATCTCGGCACAGACAGAGCCCATCCTGCTGAACTGCTGTAAAGTTTCAGAATATTTTTGCAGGTGTCGTTCTGCGAGGTTCCGCCAAATGGAGATCTCCCAACCACCATCTCATACCTTGCGGGAAGCCCCCACCCTAAACCCTAAACCCTAAACCCTAAACCCTAAACCCTAAACCCTAAACCCTAAACCCTAAACCCTAAACCCTAAACCCTAAACCCTAAACCCTAAACCCTAAACCCTAAACCCTAAACCCTCCCCCCCCAACAAGCCCTTGCAACCTACAAAGGCCGGGTCCGGCTGTCATCATGCCAAGCCGGTTTAGGGTTTAGGGTTTAGGGTTTAGGTTTAGGGTACCGCAACAACAAAACACACCCCAAGGCCAGGCCACAGCAGCACGCCCATCTCCCACATGTCCAAGCTCTCATTGTGACCTTCGGGTTTAGGGCAGTTTAGGGTTTAGGGTTTAGGGTTTGGGGTTTAGGGTTTAGGGGGACTTCACCGATTTTGCCAGTTGCCAGAAGCTTCAGCAGCAATGGCATGGACGCATGGTTGTGCAATGGAGCCCCCCGAAGAAGAATAATAGAAAGCAGTTGTTCTGAGCAGAGATCTTCCCCAACCCGAAGTCAAGCTCTGTTGCCGCATAGGGTTTTTGTGATAGGGTTTGCTCCTTCTGAATCTGGTTCTCCAGCACCGGGGCTTTGTTGTATGGCGGGTTGCTGTTCTATACTCCCTTCAGTGAGATTCCTGGGGAGACGAGGGGTTGAGTGCATGAGTTCGGGTTTGTGCTTCTTCTTTCTGAGCGTTTGGGGTTTGGGGTTTAGGGTTCAGGGCTTACGGCCAGCGAGCTTGAGGAAACCTAAAGACCAGGCTTTTTGGCTTCTTCAGGTACACCCCTCTCTGTGTCTTTGGCCGCGCGACCTTCTCCAAGTATCATCTCAGGGGCCTTGGCTTGGTCAGTGTGTTCATTGATTGGTGGGCTGAGGCCCCAAACCCTAAACCCTAATCCTAAACCCTAAACCCTGAAACCCTAGGTGTAGGGTTCTTAACGGCTTCGGCGGAATGGAGGGCGCCACCCCGAAGCTAGGGTTTAGTTTTTAGAGTTTAGGGTTAGGGTATAGGGTATAGGGTATAGGGTATAGGGTATAGGGTATAGGGTTTAGGGTTTAGGGCTTAAGGTTTAGGGTTTAGGGTTTGATCGCTCACACTCGGACAAGCCAGGCGAGGCACACACTGTGAAAGAGTCCACGAGCACGCGGACATTTAGGGTTTCGACTCTCACACTCGTGCACGCACAAGCAAGGCTCCGGTTTAGGGTTTAGGGCTTAGGCTAGGGTTGGAAAGCTTCAGTGGTCCATGTGCAAAGGAGCATGCATTGGTGTTCGGACACCATTGCTGTATGATAATTCCTGCTGTGCTGCACGAGAACCCCCGCCCCACCCTCTAAACCCTAAACCCTGTGCCACTCCCTCACTGAACCTGTTTGTGGTGTTTCTTCGTCGTTTGTCTAGGGGCTGAGGACTTGAGGGCCTTCGGGCGCTTTTGCTCCCGGCTCCCGGTAGCCGGACGATGCCGCGCGCCAGGGTTTGACGATCAGCCACAGGAAAAACGACCATGATCAACTTGTACTCTGAACTGCAAGCATCACTGAAAGTAGCAAAGTGTCTCTTGCAGCGCAAGCAAACTCCCCAAAATAACCAGGCGTGGGCTTTGGCACCGTGCACCCGCATAGCTAAACAGGAGAGGGTTGAGGGTTGTTCGGTGATTTGGGGTCTTAGGTGTTCTTGTCACGAGGTGGAACTTGCAGGGGCTTTGAGGCTTTGAAGATGTTTTCTGTAGTGTGTCAGTGTTCCTGCGCTTCTTGCTTCTTCGGTTTTGGTTCAAGCAGAAGGGGTTTGAAGACATGGCTGTAGAACGCATTGCGATTCTCATGAGGGCTTCGCCGCACACGCGTGCACAAGCCAGCTAAGGCAACCACCCGAAGGAGTTCTGAAGAGTTATGGTTGGGATGTTCCCCCGCTTATACTAGCAGACCTTCATAGGCATTATAATACCCCCATATACCTCCTACTCTAGTCCATATGAAGTGCTGTTAGTATAAGGGGGAACATCCCAAAGCTAAGGCTTTAATGCCCTCTCCAAACTCAGCTGACCAACTTCCTTCAGTGCAAGTCCACGTGGCCAGGTAGTCGGGTGTACCGCAGAAAGTTGCCCTGTTCGTGTGCTGGCCAAGCAATGTGGGATCCCAAACAAAAGTTCAACATCTGTCCTGTTGTGATCCATTTACTAGACTCTGCTAGCCAAGTGAAAGAACCTGCTGGACTACGATACGCAGGACGTGGTGCCATCTGCAAGCTCCCCGCCCAAACCCAAACCCCAACAAGCAAAAGAAATGAACACCGTCACCCTCACGGAGCGAACAAGCACTGCGGTACAGCTACCTGCAGACTTGCTGCAGGGCTAAAACTGCGAGGCGTAACTGCTCTCAAAAAGCCACCCCTTGCCCTGAGCCCTAAAAAACCCTAGAACCCAAACCCGAAAACGCAGCTGATCTTTAAGGCCCACCTGTAGGATACGTTTTCCATGAAGTTGGACCACCCGAAGTCCGCAAGCTTTGCATGCATCCCCTGCGCCACTTGAAGGTTTAGGGTTTAGGGTTCAGGGTTCATGGGTACTTCTAAGTGGGGTCATGACAGGTATTTTAAAATCAGGTTATAGCCATGCTTACCCTACTTAGAACATACTTATGCGTTCCCATGAACCTCCAAGTATATGGTCACTTCTCTGAATTATGGACCCTGTTGGGGTTACATGAAACTTTTTCAAAAAACCAGTCAGATCATTGTTCCTTTGTTTTTTGAAATACAGTTCAACTACAAACAAATATTCCGATATATTACTTTCGTATACCGATGTACGAATGATTATACGAACCATCATAATATGCTGTATAATCAGTAAGAAGAGAATGAAAATATAATGATCGATCAATGTTTTTATTCCTAACAATGCAGATGTCTGTTTTTTACATCTTAAGCTAGATCCATACATTATATACACGTATGCATATTTCTTTTTGATATATTAATACCTTCTTATATGTGTATGTAGTCGATACTCCGTAAACTATAAGTGGATCTCGCTGTATGGCGGCCCCGATTAACAAGGGTACACACAAAAGGACCCTATTTTTGAGAATTGACAATACAGGCACACCTTAGAAGAGCAGAACAAGCTGATGGAATGCTCAAGGGCAGTTGCATCCTAAACCACGCCATCACGGCAACTGGCAACTACCAGAGCTGTGGATATTCGCAACTATATTTTCCGAATCAATGGGAGTCGCTTAGACTCGTTGAACTACGAATCGCCGCGTTGATGTAGGAGTTCTATTCAACCTAACCCCTGGTAGTAGGCACAGAACATTGCCGCTCCACACGAGGTTTCGGCGGGACCGGGTTGGTGTAGTTTAGGTCGGGCCAAAACCGTGCGCAGGAGCATCCTCCAGTCGAAGTTGACTTCAGCGCCCTCGTAGGGATGTCTGCGATGTGGAAGAAGCAACGGCCGAAATACGCTAGGTCTAGGGCTTAGGGTTTGGGTCTTCGGCTTGAGGGTTGAGGTTTTAGGGTGCAGCTAAATGGAGGTCCGGCAACGCAGCACAAAGCTTGGCGCCTTGTCGAGGAGTATGTTCTCAGGCTTGATGTCCCTGGGTTCACTCGGGCAGTACTTCCGGTACCCTTCCCGAATTTCGGTGAACTGCTCTCAAGTCGATGCTACAGCCCAGGGTATGTGATAAGTTGTCGTCTCCGTGGGCCATCGGCAGGTGAACATCCCAAATCCGATGAACTTTGCTGAAGGCCTGGTCTTTGTTTCGGCTTCGTACTCCCCCATTCCCTCGCCTCAAGGCTGGACCCCCTCCCTCCTCACCCCCTTGCAAAGCAAAGGGTTCTCGGTTTCCTGATCTAGGCCTCGGCGACCTGAGCCTCTGGACCTCATGATCAGAGGCGCCGGTGGATAATCTTCGGCTC